AGAGTTTCAGTTTTACAAGATGAAAAGAGTTCTGAGATGGATGGTGGTGATGGTCGCACAATAATGTGAATGTACTTAAAGCCACTGAACTGCACACTTAAACATGGTTAACATGGTAAACTGAATGTTATGTGTATTTTCCAATTAAAAATGGAAACGAAGAAATTGTATTAAAAATTCTGCACTTTTGGATGCTTTTTAAAAATTGGAAGATCTGACCACATGGGGGCCTACGTTATCATATGGCAACAATGAGATGGGGCTTGAGTGACCCAGAATGTCCACGTCCCCACCCCTCCCCGTTGTCTCCCTCACTCTGACGCTGAGTATCAGCTGAAGCATCAAAGAAGACACACGGTGATGTCGGAAAGCCAGAATTTTTACACTTGGCCCATGTAGTTCATTTCCGTTACCTTCCTGACACCAATGGGCCTTTGAATGATGTACTGAGTGACTGAGTCCCCTACAGCTCTGACATTGTATGATTCCTAGAAAAAACGGAAAAATCATACATGTTTTTGCAATGTTTATCAAAATAGTATATGCCTACTATTAAAAAAGAAAACATCTACAGGAAGCTGTCAAGGCTCAGTGGTTAGGAGTGTAAACTCCCCGAGCCAGGGGGGCGTAGCTCACCCTTCCTACATGGGAGCCCCGTCATGCTCCTCATCAATGGCGTCCGTGAGAGCGCCCACGCCACAGGGTTGGTTTACAGATTCAGTAGGTTAGGGCGAGAAGCCCCACAGCAAGCTGGCTCGCTCTCAGCTTTCTAAATGTTTGCCGTGTGACATACGCCTCGTCACCTGGACGGATACCCGGTGTTCACCATCGGTACGAATTCCTGCAGATACTACTCTCCAGGTTGACTGATGTGAATCTGTGTTAACAGAACGGGACCACATGATGCGTATTGACCAGCGGGTCACCGTTCCTGCTTCCCAATTTGTCATACCCATTTCTATGGCAGTTCACGTAAAACCCCTAACCGAGTCCCATTCTAGGTGACAGGGTACCGTTACATGACTTCTTTCATAGGGGTGGACATTTCTGTTGTTTCTGATTTTCACCATTAAAAGCCAACTTGCCGCCATGTTCCCTGTTCCTGCATCTTCATATATCTNTGGAAATCCACTTGACATATCTTGTCTGGGTGATACAAGAAGACTAGAAACTTATGAGTATAATGGCGGAAATGGTTATGTAAATGCACTTATCATATTTCCCATCCCTGACAATTTTAGGCAGTTGGTACAAAGAGGACACCTTTCAAAAGATTTACGTAATGTTTCTATAATGTGAGGCAGGAGAAAACTTTATTGAGAGCTCAGAGAGCTTTTGCTTATGTGGGCTATATTTACTGGTACTTCAGGCTGGGAAATTTTAAACATGTTTCTCAATTAATTATATATACCAATAACAAACCCATTACATGTTAATATAAGTCACCCATTTTTATGAAAAATAACCCTGTTTTTTAAAGATCCATTTAGTTTGAGGAGTGGCACTGTTTCTGCTTATCTTGAATAGACAGTTTGATGTCCTGCTTTGTTAATTAACGTAACTGTAGAATTTTATGGTTATAAATGTCCTCACCACTGGTAACACTAGATCAGAATTCTTTTGTCAGCTCTGTTGTTACCGAAGAGAAGTGGTAATTATGGATGGAGGCGTCAAGACAAGAAATTATATTTATCGAACTAAATGCAGACGTTCTTTTTTCCACCCGGATTCTAGAAGGCCTGTGTGACTTCCGTCAGTTTCCACCCGATGCTGATAAGTATACTCCTCACTAATTAATGTCATTTTTATTTTTAAGGTCAACATGGTCAACAGCTTCCAACAAGAAAATGATGATCTTACTAATCAAACACAGGTGGGGTTTGGAAGTCAGCTTCTGAATTAACCAAGTGTTTGTTTAGAGGCTGGGTTGCAATTCCGTGTTTTTTAGTGCCCTATTGATGTTTGGTTGGCAGGAAATGAATTAGTAACTAGATGTGGGCTTTTACAATCTTGAGGGACTGCCCGAGAACTGCAGATGGTGCTTTGATGTCTAATTAGAGGATGAGCAATCTGCAAGCATCAGCCCAGAGGCTTATCCACGCCATTTTCTTCTTTACGGAATAAAAATACAGTGGACTTAATATTTCCAGCACGTGGGTGCAGGGCAGCAAAGCAACTTCCATCCTCACGTCACCTTCGGACCATTTCCTCCCTGTTGCTCTTGTGATAAACTCACTTTCTAACTAAGTGATTTTGTTTTAAATGTACATTTTTCTGGATAGAAACGAATGTGGCTATGAACCAGGTTCACTTGTAATAGATGGTAACTGTAACGTACATATATAAATAGAACACAGACAAAGCCACCTTGTTAAAGGCGATCTATATTCTCTTGCCTGGCAAATCTCTGACCTTGATGTCTGAGTTTGTCTCTTTCTGCCTCTGTTACAAGGGAGGTTCGTAGACAGAGAGGCGTTAAAGACCTATAAGCACTGAATGGAGACGTTCTCATCAATGATTTCAGAAAGACGGAGAGACAGGGAGTAACTCTCATTCATTCAACAACTATTTCCATGTCTACCAAAGGACAGGCGTAGGCACATGATAGGCAATGCTCATTAA